TTGCTGACGGTATGGACACGTTAGGCATCAAAACGGTTCGTCGCTGACTCAAAGTTCCCAGGCCGCACGTCCTCGGAGGTCGTCAGTATCCATGATCTCAAAAAGCAAGGTAAACTGATACTCGCGACAGGCAGATGCAGTCGAGATGCATGCCCAAAAGCTTCGCTCAAGTAGCTGCGCCATGTGAGCTGTCAGCTGGAGATCTTTGCAGCATGCTCCGGCGTGTGGCGGCTGTCGCCGCTCCTTGCGCCATAGGTGTGGCTGAGAGATTGTCGGCCATGGGGTTCTTGTGCACCAGGGCGAGTTATTACCCGTGCGATTTTTTTCTGACAAAAGAACAGAAGCCGTGTACGTCACCCAGAATTCTCGTCAGAGGTGCAGTCGTCCTTCTTTCCGATCGAAGGACTGACAGTGGTCGCACAAGGCTGCTCAATTCTGCCGATGGTGGGAAGCCGGCCTAGCCAACGGATTGTATTTTGACAGGCGGCTTCTACCTCGCCTGCTACTGTGGCTACCACTATTATTTACGTTTTGATTAAGTGTGCTAAAAAAGACTACTACCACCACAACGACGACTGACGACTGCTATTATTATTATTATTACTACTACTACAACCACCACTACGACTACGGCTATTACTACGACGACGGCGACGGCGACGACGACGACTACTACTACTACTACTACTACTACTAGTACTAGTACTACTACGATTACGACTACGACTACGACTACGACTACGACTACGACTACGACTACGACTACGACTACGACTACGACTACTACTACTACTACTCCTGCCACTGCTTCTGCTGCTGCCACTGCTTTTGCTGCTAATGCTACCACTACTACTACTGCTACTACTGCTACTACTACGACTACTACTACTACTACTACTACTACTGCTACTACTGCTACTACTACCACTACTACTTCCACTACTACTACCACTACTACTACTACTACTACTACTACCACCACTACCACTACCACTACCACTACCACTACCACTACCACTACCACTACCACTCCCACTCCCACTCCCACTACCACTACCACTACCACTACCCCTACCGCTACCACTACCACTACGACGACGACTACTACCACTACTACGACGAAGACTACTACTACTACTACTACTACTACTACTACCACCTCCACCACTACTTCTGCGGCTGCGCTGCTGCTGCAACCACCACACCACCACCAACAACGACAACTGCTGCTGCTGCTGCTGCTGCTACTACTACTACTACGACCACCCATTACTACTACTACTACTACTACTACTACTACTACTACGACGATCCATGTTGGAGGGTTCCTAGCATGGAGAAGCATGTGCTACGGGTGCATCCCAAACCCTGCGGTTATCCTTTATCCGACCTACTTCCCCAAAAGCTTTTCATTCCATGCAAGAGCCCGACACAGTACATTCATTTAGTAGGAAGGAATCGGAAACCTCGCCCTTCTGACTTGACCACGAGACCACATCGTAGTGCAAGCATCCGTTCCTACAAGAGCTTCGAAGATTCCCATATACGGGACAACACGCACACAAACCTGACCACTGAACACTTCTTGGCAGTTCGTTAACAGCGTAATCCGCAACACAAGCATTGCCTTCTCAGCGGCTGTCTCTTCATCACTGGCATATCCGTTGACTTTTTTGGCCCACTCTTTCCTGTCGCAAGATAGCACGACTTGCCCACATGGCAGGGAGCGGCCGTATCACGCTTTCAGTTCGCCTACCGGTCTTCGTGGTGCATCTCGATCTCAACATCTGTATAATGAGACAAATACCAGCTTTATGCACCTTCCTTCGCACACATTTTCGTGCAAAGATGCCACGGTTTGATTGCCTTTCTGGGGTGCCAAGCTTGCATTGCTGGAATTCTCCGAAGCATCCTTCATCCTGGAGTCTAATCTCTTGAACCTAGACATACACTCACCAATGTATCATTGGTGGATTAAGCATCTGATCAAAGTAAGCGGCGACGAATCTTTACGTTTATTGAACGATCTATCTATCTGTCCATCTCTTCTCAAAACCTATTGGCTATTGGTGCCTCTCAGCCTGCTACAAACGGACAGTCCGTCTGACACCGAAACATAGTGAGCTGTCACGGTTGCAAGTCTATACAACAGTTACTGTTATCACTGCGTGCAACTACTTCTATTGCGGGTTCAAGAATCCATGCCAAGACAACGGTGCTGCTCTGAGTGGAGTCCCCTTGATTAGTCCTCCATGCTGAAGGCCTGAACTGGCCCGATTTAGGTAATTATCGACGAGCAGACATCCCCCGCACTGCTGTGTTTTTGGCCGCAAGACGTAAGAGACTGATAGCACTTCAGGCATGAAGCCTCAAGAATCGAGCTTCAAAACAGCCTCACTCACCGAAACAAGTCAGCACAGAAAACCGCTAGCATCGGCGATGGTCCTGTTCTTGGCAATGATCTGTCGCCGCTGCTCTAAGAGCTGCTTCATCCGCTCCTAGCTCAGTGACTTGACCGAAGGGCCCCTCGAAGTTTGTAGGGCGTGCAGACCTTAGGGTTCTTTGGTCCTCGAGTCCCAGTTCCGAGTGTGAGGGTCAGACAAGATCTACGCTGTCCGGGTCGAATGACGCGAATCTCCCGGAATGGGGCTCAAGGCCAAAGCCACGCTGGAAGACCTAGCTGCATAACAAAGGAGTCAATGCACAACTTTGGGGCTACTACGGATGCGAAAGAACAAGGTAGTGGCCCTTGGAAGTTCATGCGTTGGGCGGTTTAGAGCAGGTTGGGTTTCAGGACACGTGCTGCTGATGTAAGTGGGGATTCTACCAAGCTTTGGATTGTCAAAGAATACATATAACGATGCTTGCCGTGCAACACAGTGCTTTCCCGGCGGCCTGAGGCAGCACAAAATCCAAAGCCATCCTAAAAACAACTCGGGAACTTCTGGGAGGACTTGGCAGCCCTTCAGTTGAAGCCTCGACCCCACCGCTAACATTGGTGACTCGAACCCAGACCCTGTACTCGCTGAAGCTCGAATCAGCAGCAAGTCCTCCCTCAAGATCCAGCGCAGGATGCGTGGGCGATACCTCGACGAGCAAAGCCAGTGCTCCGGATGCCTGCCAACGGAATGGGGCTGTGGGAGCTGGAAAGTTATTGGAAGCCTTGAACAGAGTAAGCAAAAACTTTGCCGTGAGCAGAACCTATCCGATCATGCGAATGCCCCAGGCTGTTATCCTGCGTGGCCTGTCAAAATGACACGTACCGACTTGCATCCTGAAAGCTTGTATAGGTTTTATAAGTTTTATAGCATAGGGACCGAAATTTCATGATTGCCCGGTCAGCGGTCTAGCTTAACGGCTGTGCCAATCACAGCCTCCAGGCATTGTGTTCGCACAATTTCGATCGACTTGGATGTCAAGAACAGGCTCCTTATCCTATGCTCTTTGCAGCTTGTTATAACAAATTATTCATGCGAACGAAGGATGCTTTCAGCGAGGTACTTTTTCGCACGTTGGGCAGTCTTGCTTTGTGAATGCTTTTTCGGGCACAGTCTAAGTATTCGGCAAGACGAACAGAACATACCTTTGATTTGATTGGGGAGACAAACGGAAGTCGTTTCGGCCTATAGCCAGATAAACCTCAAAGCCAGGGCCTTTTCAGGCAAACTGCCTCAACCAGGAAACATCTTCCCGGGTCTACCGAAAAGGACTAAGACCTGCCCGAAACTACAAAACATGCAGAACAACTCCAAACAAAACTAAACTTCAATAACACTCCAAACACTTGCAACAACGTCCAAAGCTTTCACAACCTTCCTTCTAAAAAACCGAACACTTCCAAAAAGCTAGCAACAACTTCATACGACTATCCTTCTGGGTTGCGGGACTCTGGCAACAGTTCTGAAGTTTTCGAAGTCTCCCGAAGGCCTCAATGCATAGAGGGCCGACAAGAGGTACAGGATGAGGAGTACTGCCAAGGCTACACCTGGCTGACGCGTGGATTAAGATCTGAGGCCCAAGGCTGCAGGATGGCCAGCATCGTAGACTCCAAAGAAACGGAAGCTGAGTACACCCGACAGAGTAGACACAGGGTCTAAACCACCTGAAGCACAGCCATCAATAATTAACCTCATCAGTCAATCTTCGGCAACTTCTAAAATGTCACTCCCAGACGCTTGTAGCGTGTGCTTGCCCCGAGTCTTCAGTGCTCAAACTGTCCGGTGGTCATGAGAATGGTAGTCTGCCAGGAAAAACGCACAAACTGTCAGTGTTTAGTGTTTGTAATCTGCGACTCGATGACATGCCACGAACGCCACGACAAAGTGGAGCTAAGACTTCAGATGCTTGCTAGCTAGATCATTCGCAATCATACGGAAGCCTAGCAGTCAGCCATACATGCTCACATTCCAATTTCTACATAGTTGATGAAGCGCCTCGCAAACTACCTCAAGTAACTAATTGAGGCCAAAGCCATCGATCCTTGCACCAACACCTCAGTCCCACACCGGTGAGTACAAACGTTACTCCGCTCAACACCCCAATCCGTGCGTCCTGGGCATGCAATGACAAGGCTTCAAAACACCTCTTAACCCGGAGTTCCAAGATCATGAAACCGAGATTGCAGCTCCGACTCGACAGATCCCTACTACGCGGCCCCTGGGCCTATGCCCAGGATGACATTTTCGTAAGCCTCCAGCCTTGGAAACCGCTAATGCCACACCACATCATGGGGTAAAACGGTTCAAGCGAGAGGGATGAAAAGGAAACAAGGGTTCCGACATGAGCTTTAGCTCTGCCATCGAGGCCGTGGAGCTTGGGGTCGAGTTTGAGTGACCCGGATCCCTAGATAGTGGACCGTAGCCAGGGACATGGTACTGAACAATATTTACCTGGAAGCATCTTTCCTGTTCGTTCACAATTTTCCTTCTTTGGCTCGGGAGTCTGGAACCGAACCCGATGCCGAGCCGCAATTGGAACTTGTTTGCCGTCTTTGAAAACTGTTGCGTTCGCGGGCCGGTCACTGCAAAGAAATCTCTCCGGGGGTCTCAGGCTGCAAGAAAGCACAACTTGGTGATCAACTTCTTGACATACAAGTAGCCTATGGGCATCCTCGAAAATCCACCCAGGAGCCAGGAGCTCTTCGTCTTCTGACCTCTTATCGCCTAGACTCCGAGCCCGAAACCCTGCACGAAGTTCCTTCAAAGAAGCTGAAAGCCAGTCACTTTGATGGTGGCTTTGTGCGATCGATTGGTGAAGTCCTCAGAGCCCGATGTTCTTCATGTCGTGCTCGGCTTAGGGGTCTACTTACAGTACCAGCCTTTTTTTGCGGAAGGGGTCGTGAAGGTTAGGGCGAACAAACGAAGGGCGCAGGAGCAGGATTAACAAGCTAACGGCTCAACACAG